GTACACTGGGCCTAATTTGGAATTTTTTGGAACACGTGCAGGTGCCAGTAGTACGTTTTAGTTCCCCGAGAAAAATTCAGGAAAAATTTGGGACAGTCTGTAGGCGCACTGTGAAGCCGTGTTCGAACCCCGAAACGAGTAAGGACCCCTCACCCTATTTCCTATCACGGTATTAAAGTTCAATAATGATAAAACGGTATTTCTTGAATCAACGAATGTGTGAAATTGCTTAAGATCGCTAATGGAGCCTGAGTCTAGTGTGTTTGTCGGTTAACTATTATTTGGCCTATTTTACAGTTTTAAATGCAGTATGAGGTTTGATGTTTTCATTTTATAGTTTCGTGTGCATATTTTACTGTTTTATTGATTATGGATTGAATGACTGAGATATTGATGCTGTATGTTGTCTGTTTGGCATAAATTACTGTTTTGCTTGTTTGTATGTGAATTAATGATGCTGACTAAGGAAAAAGAGAATGAAAGATTATGTAAATTGGTAATTGTATAATGTGGTCAGCCTGACTAGATATCCTGGGAGATGGTGGACGGACCGGGTCCGTAGGGAACCCTACCGGGATTGTGGTCTCTCATACCGGACGGGGTATGAAGACCTTATGTGTTTTGGTGCCCATACCGGACGGGGTATGGGGACAGCCCGTTTCACCCTCATACCGGACGGGGTAATGGGGTTTATAATTTTGGCGTCCATACCGGACGGGGTATGGGGACGGCCCTGGAATCTGATTTCAAGTGTTAAGGGTTAACGGGTAGCGGGACCCCTATGGATCCCCATGGATACTAATGGGCTGGTAAATGAGAAAAATATGTTGTGTAATGATTGAATTACAAAAGGCGTGATAAGTATTATGTTATACAGTTTATATATGATTTCATGATGATGATAATGTTATTGCTTTCGTATACTGTTTTATGAATTTCACCGAGGTAAGTGGATGGTGAAGGATTTATTATTGATAAAAGAATTTGTTGTAAGTTATGCTCCATTGGTCTTTTTGTATTTTCTACCCACTTTTACCTCCGTGACGGTGAGATATCGTGATGTCTTTAGTGGGCTAATGTAGCTCATTCCTTATTTAATCATTTCAGATCAGGAAAACATTGTTCCCGAGCCCGTTCCGCAGGAGGACGACGAAGGGGACGCCTAAAGACTCCATAGTCATATTCGTAGCTTTTACTTTCGAGTTTCTCCTTTACGTAGTTTGATCTTTTATATTTTGTGAGCACGTTTTTTGTTTAGTGTAGAGATGTTAATCGAATTTTTAACTTCGTTTCCGCATTTGATATTTTTAATACACATTTCATTTTAAATTTCCGGGGCCGTTACAACATGAGTTATGGTTTAGCTAATAATGAGACCTTTAAAAAATCATTAAAATAAAATTATTATATTAAAAATATAATGAAACATAAGATATAAATGAAGCTTGGTTATTCCTTGTTTTTCTTTTAACAAATTATTTAATCCGTTTGGTTGTTCATTAAAGTATGTATGTATATATACATATATAAAGTTGGGGTGATATCTTCACCGTACTAAATTACAATATCAAAACGTATTAATATTTTCATAATTAATTTAATACATACGTAATATATGTATTATAAGTTTAATTGGATTAGCTTTTGATTTTCAAATGAGTATAAAAATATCCGATGTATATAATATATTTAACTATAAGATATTTAATAATAATAAAAATAAATAATTACAAGAAATAATGTGTATTTAAATTAATACTAATGACTAACATACTATATATATATATTGTATACTATATATTTAGTTATATATTTACTACACATTGTATATAATATTAATTTGTCTTTATATTTTGAAATTTGAGTGAATAATATTTAAAATTTTATTTAGATACAATATATGGAATTTTAATTATTATATAAAAATAATATTTTATATGTTATGCATTTAAATTTTAAAATATAAAAATAAAATTAATATAATAACTATAATTTTAAATATGACATTAAAAAAATTTGTCTAAAAATACAAAAAATATAGAAAATATTAACTAAAAACATGCATATTATTTATTTATTTATTCAGTTAAAAAATATTGGAAATAATATTTTAATTACATGAAATAATGTGTTTTTAAATTTATACTAATGATTAACATATGTATTGTATATTATATATTTAGTTATATACTAATATACATTGAATATAATATTAATTTGTCTTTATATTTTACAATTTGAGTGAATAATATTTAAAATTTTATTTAGATGCAATATATGGAATTATAACTATTATATAAAAATTATATTTTATATATTATATATTTAAATTTTAAAATATAAAAATAAAATTATTGTGATAATTATAATTATATATGTCACATAGAAATAAAATTTGAAGTGTTAAAAACTCAAAATTTAAAATATAAAAATAAAATTAATATAATAATTAGAATTACATATATTATATCAAAATAAAATTTTGAACTATTATTCACTCAAGATGACACGGAAAAAATTTGTCTAAAAAAATACAAAAATTCTATAAAATATTCACTAAAAACATACATATTATTTATTTATTTATTCAGTTCGAACATACTGGAAATAAACCGGTTGTTAACTAGAGAAAGAAGATGAGGCTTGTAAGGAAATGACTTATCAGTAATCCTTCTCTGTGTCTCTCAGCTTTTCAAAATGGGCTTTCACGTTCTCAAATCCACACCATTCTTCCCATCCCAATCCAAAATCTTCACCACAACCAAACCCAATTTCTCCAGACGACTCCTCTCGCCATTGACCAACACTTTTTGCAGGACCCAGTTCGCGTTGTCTTCCCCCAAGCCCCTCCTTCACTCCGCTTCTGCATCTGGCTTTCCCTGTTCTCTTCTACCGAGTAGCCGTAGCTTTCGCCGTAGCAGTGTTGTCGCCATGGCTGCTTCTGGATCGGTGCAGAAATCGGAGGAGGATTGGCGTGCGATTCTATCTCCCGAGCAGTTTCGGATTTTGAGGCAAAAAGGCACCGAGTATGATTTTCTCCTTCATCTGTAATTTACAGTTATAGGTCGTTTGCTTTCGTTTGTTTTTCCACTCAGAATTTTGTTTTTCCATTTTTCAGAATTGTTAATTATATTTTTCATCGGAATACGAGATATCTTCTTGAGTGATAGAATGTTTTAACCATAGATTGTTTTTCAGAAATGTTTTTATGTTAGATGTTCTAATTAGATTTTTAGATCGTTAATCTCACTTAGGGCCAGCTGAAATTTTCTGGTAATATTTCTTATTTCGTGCCTTCCTGTTCTGATTAATGCTGATAGCTGCTGCCTAAAGTTGGACATATTTTGTCTGGGGAAGATATTATAGTTCCCATGATGAATGGGAGAGAAAAAAAATGTTATGAGAAAGTCCTGATTGGATTTTTTTTTGTCTTGCCAAGTTTTTAGAAGGGTTTTAGTTTGCTTAGTGCCTGGATGTAACACAGTGTCACTTACATCTAGAACTGGTTTTCTTATTAGTACATGGGTTGATGATGACCTATTCATTTATCATGGTGCAAATGTCTTAATGAATCTTACTAATGGTCATAAGAATCCCCGGATATTCAGCCTTGAGGGAACCTGGTAAAAGTGCGTTTGTTCCTTGGTTTATCATCAATTCAGAAAATAATCATGATTTTTGCAATAAATTATTATATGTGGTGAATTATGTATGTTGAGGATCACAAGATAGTGAGTAGAGAAGTGAGATGGAAGAAGAGAGTATAATGAATATTGCCCCATGGGCTCCTTTTAAATATATGCGATATATTGCAGCACATAAAGAGGTTTCCTTGCTTGCTTATGAATGGAATTAGGCTTCCGACAGGGAGTACAGTGTCTGGCCTTGTGATTATAAACCTCCAATAAAATAAGCATCTGGGAAACTGGTAAACCGCCTTTTTTAGCTGAGAGAGGACATTAACTCTTAGTTCTCTCAATATGAAATATACAGTATTTATATCATAATTGGCTTTTCATCCATATAAATAAGTACATTTGAAATATTAAGCAACCTCAGTGTCTAGCAAGTACAACTGGGTTTCTCAATCTTTATTGCAAGAATTTCCATGAAGATAGAAGTTAGAAGTATCAAAGACAAGTTGTAGGTACTGGTAAACCAGAAGATTTTCGGTGTATGTTTAAGCTAAATTGAATCCTTTTGCATTTAAGTGTGGGAAAACTAAAAGGGACTATAAGATGGGAGAAATTTCGCTTCGCATAAGTTATCTCAAAAATTGCCAATTGCAGAACAAATTTCGGGATGCTTACCATAACTCATACATCTAATTTTTCCTTTCATTTCGAAAACTCAGAAGAAGTTCGTGTTCTTCGAGGACATGATTCGATAAACAGGAAGTACTCTCTTTAAGTTGTTGCCAAATGCTACTTTTGGTGGCTGCATCAAAAGATAAATTCTGGATGGTTACAACAGTAAACATCTTATGGTTGGGGAATCTTATAATTAAATGTCTAATATTTGGTTCTCGACATTGTTTGATACTCTATAGGTACCCAGGCACTGGGGAATATGATAAGTTCTTTGAAGAAGGTATCTACAACTGCGCAGGATGTGGGACTCCTCTTTATAGATCCACTACCAAATTCAATTCTGGGTGTGGCTGGCCTGCTTTTTATGAGGGATTGCCCGGTGCCATAAACTGTAATGTGAGCTTTCTTGTTTCCTGCACCTTTCATTTGTTTGTACAATGTTTAGGTAGGAGTCCGTAAAAAGAAGAGAAGGGGCAGGAAGTTTTTCAAAAGAGAAGGGAGGAGACCATGATTCTCTTGTTGGATAACTAAGCTTGAAAATATAAATAAAAAATTGTCAATATTGTCAATTATACTTCTTCTCAGGAAAATAAGAAAATCATAAACCTAGTATAGAAAAAGATATCACAAAAAAGTGTTGAATCATTCGCTCTCCTCTCCTCTCCTCTTTTCCCTAATCTGGCAGGAATAAGAAAGACAAGATTTTGAAGGATCATTTCCCTTGTTTTTCTTTCTTCTCCCTTCAGTTTTTTTTTATCCAAATATTCATTTTGGTTATCCATTTATATGAATTTTTAACTAAACCGTTGTATGTTATCAGCCGGACCCGGATGGGAGAAGAATTGAAATTACATGTGCAGCATGCGGTGGACACTTGGGTCATGTATTTAAAGGTGAAGGATTCCGCACACCGACTGACGAACGCCATTGTGTCAATAGTATATCACTTAAGTTTGTCCCTGCAAATTCTGGCCTGTGATTTCTATCAAGTGGTTATTTTGGTTCAAGATCACCATTTCTATGAACTTTTTGTTCATGACTGGATATTTTTAGTTGTCCATTCTTCTCTATTTGTTCTTCTGTCTTTGTATCTATCTACTGAATTTACAATAATTCAGCAAGATGGTGTTTGAGATTGCTGGAAAAATATGTTTTTAAGTGTTTTAAGTTTTTAAAGGTAAAATTTTTATCTTTCACTATTAACTTGAGAAAAAAATGATTACTTATTGTTTATTGTGAAAATGTACTTATCCCCAAAAGTTTGCCATGGAAGAAGCGTTTTTTTTTTTTTTTCAAAGAGAAAATTAACATGTTTTTTTTTTATGAAATAAATTATTAAATTTAAATTTTGGAAAATTTTTCTCGTTAGCACGTGTTTTCACTGACCTTCCCTTCGGTTTAACTCACTTTTTATTTTTATTTTTTATTTTAATTTATGTAAGACACAACTTAAAAGTAGTAATGTTCTTATTTTAATACATAATTTATTATTTTTAAGATAAATAAGTTTTTCTTAGCTTATTTTTTAGACTAATATGAAATTATTAAAAATACCTTCCTAATTAATTATTATTATTTTCATATTTACACATTCTTTGTCCCACGTGTCTAAGTAGGGGTAACATTTTATTTATTACTGATAAATAAAAAATATATAATATATCTATTCATCTTAAGATTTTTTTGTTTCAAATTAACATTGTTAAATATTATTATCGTAATTATTTAATATAATATTTTATTTAGTACAACATTTTATATATAAATTAAAATTGAAATCTCTATATTGAATTATGATTGGAAGAAAACTCTTTCGCTGAATATAATAATTTTATATGATGTATCTTCGTACAAATAAGATGAAGCAGCCACGTGTTCATAACGCTTTAGAAAACTTGCTTGCTTCCCGGTTTAAAAAAGATAAATCGACTTTCCATTTGTGGCCAATGATTTCAGAAGAGCGACAAAACTTTCAAATGCAACCGTGGAGTTCCATTTCCTCCACACGCATATAATACATATAAGATTATTTATGCAATACGTATATATATATATGTGTGTGTGTGAATATATTTTCCAAAATTGCAGGGACTTGAACGTGGTCGCTTGCTTGTCTTCCTCAGCTTATCATGAATTGAGTCAGTCCCTTTTATAAAAATTCCCTCATAATAACCAAACCTCAGATATATTCGCTTCCATCTTTAGGGTTAATCACTGAAACAAGAAATGTCCTTTACTTTCTGTCAATTCGTGTTTTCTTGATTATTAAGACCATCGCCACTATGTTGGAATCCTTGTCATGTTGCCATACTCCCAAGGTAATTCCATTTCGGTCCAACTGATCTTTTCCTTTACTGCTTATTCCTGTGTTGCTTTGATAATGGTGAAACAGACTGTTTCTTTTTTCGGTTTTTATCTCCTCCTCTTCTTTTCGCACAAAAGAGATGGAGAAATGAATAGGAAAAAATAAGGGAGTAAAAGATGTTCGTCGCACTTCAGTTTCAGGTTTCTTGAAATTGAATTTATTAAATTTTCTATGTTTATAGTTAAGTACTGAAGATGTGAACTAATGTGTGCTCGTAGCGACTAGTGAGTGCTTCAATAACTATATTTGATCATTTTCAGGAGTTGATATTTGATTAACATTTTAACGGGAAGCCAGTTTTGTTTATTGAGGCAGTTCTGTCATTTCCAAAATCTTATCCATCTGTTTCAACCTGTAATTTTTCTTTAGAATGCTAAAAAATAATTTTTTTATAGCTTGTTGTAAAGAATATTTAATGTATTCTATTAAAAAAGAACATGAAATGTAATGATCCGCTTAGAATAAGAACAAGTTGATATCAAAACCATGCAAGCATTAAATTGGTTAGAATATTGTACGGGATATGAAATTTTTCTGGAGATGTAAAAAAATCTATTATGTATGACATACATATATGTACATATATATATGCAGATATATAACTTGATACATAAGGAAATTTTTAGTGAAGACATTCATAAAAGACATCAAAACTTGATTTGCTTAGCAGGGAAGTTACATTTGGAACTCTGATTTCTTTCCTTATTTGTGGTGTTGCAGGGATATGGCATCACCAAACAAGCTAGGGCCATTATTGGATACTCCCATGATATTTCGCGCTCTTGTTCACATTTATACAGCTCCCTGTATTTACACAAGGAACGCATCAGGGTGCCATTAAATGCCATAAGTTATAGGACAAATAATCAATTTGTGGCCTCAAGAAATAGTATTGAGGGCTCAGTTTTATTGAGTTTCCCAGTAAGCAATTGTAGAGGATTCTTTTTTTCCACCAATTGCTCGAGTCGTTTGAAAAACTTGCGGATGCATGTAGGACTAGATGTTGCCAGTGCTGTTGATGTGATCAATGATTTAGGACTGGATACTCTGACATTTTTAGCGGTGACAGTGCTTGTTGTTCCTGCTTTCAAGATTCTTAGAGCTAGTCCGGTAAGAATATCCCTGATCTTTTGTTTATTGGTTTAGGCTTCAGAATGTTTTTTTTTTGTGCTTCTTCCCTTCCGTAGATTTTCAAAAGTATCGATCTTGATCTGCATGTATGCTGGTCTCAAAAGGGGTTATATATTAATAAGTATTTTACATAGAATTATATCATAGTTCACGAGTATCCATGTTCATATATTTGCATGCATGTAACTATATGCTGATGCTGATATACTTGTGTATTATACTGACTTTTATCATT